AACAGATAACATAGATTAATTATTATAAGCTATCTGATGAAAGTTTGAAAGAATTATAAGAGAGCTTTTAAAGATTACAAAATTATCATACCAGAGTAGCAAATTAATGTTTACCAGAATTACTAATTAATTCTACCAAAATTATCAGAGGTAATACCACCAATATTATGCCTACAAGCAGTGATGTAAATTGGATCCGCGCAGTAGGCGCAGCGGACATAAATTTAAATTTGCGCATATATATAATGCGCGTATAAATTTCTTGAATTTATAACACTGCCTAACCAAAATTAAAACACTTTTAATAGTTCACTTCTAATCAGATAATTTCATTAGAGAATTTTATTAAATTTGGTGGTGATAATAAATAATAATAAACATTTATTTAAAATGTATCCAAAGGAAACTAAAACTAATACAAAGCACCTAAACTATCCAAAGGAATTAAAAACGAATACAAAGCACCTAAACTAATCATATATACATAAAATTATAATTATTGAAATACTAAAATACTTAAAACCTGTACATTTTTAAAATCTTCATCAAAAAATATGTTACCATTTTTTAAATAATATGACAAAACGTAATTCGAATTGTTATCTAAATATGTTACTGTTACTATTTTTTCATCCACTTCACATAAAGGATCTTCATAATTAAACTCATTTGATATCTGTTTAATATTTAACTTTCTTGCTTCCTTTGTAAAAATACCAACATCCGCCGGAATTCTAACCACATACCATTCGAATACTAAATTAATATTTTTAGAACCATTTGTTGTAAATTGAAACCCTTGTTTTGTAAGGTTGATGATTTTAATATGGCCTTTATCATATAAAACCTCGTTATTGTTATGTATAATTCTTCCAACAAGATTATATTCATTTGAGTAAAACATAATTGGAAAAGAAACTTGATAAGACTCTAAATCATAATCAATAGATGTTTTTTCAAAAAATAGAATTTGTTTGCCCTTAAGTCCATACACCCTTTCAATTAAGTTGTGCTGTTCCAATTGTGTGAATACTGGGACTAGATTATCATAAACAATTATTTCTAATTCTTTGTCTTCCGTTTTTAATGAATTTTGAATCCATTTATTAACATCATTAATCTTTACAACTTTCATTAAATAAGTTTAATTTAAAGATCCAGTATCGTAATTTTTGAAAATGTCTTTCCATTCAACGATATGTTTAGTTAGATCAATATTTGATAAATTCTTGGTGTATTTCGAATTTATGTGTTTCGTTGTTCGTTTTACAATAAGCTTCTCGATATAATTGTTTACCTAATATAACTCGGCTTGGAATAAAATAACTAAATCTATTAAAAACTCCACGCAATTCACGATACAGATTTTCATAAGATAACGCCTCGTCAATTTCACTTGATAGATCTGAGAAATCAAATTTATTAAAATTAAATTCAGCATATCCTAGCTCTACAGTTATTCAGAAAACAAACTTGGTCTTTTCTTTTAAGCTAAAAGGATCTTCGAGATTTCAAATTAAGGTATCCTAAAAATTTTTCAATACTTTTAGATTTGTACTATCAATTAGTTCATCTACAAAAAAAATTTCACGTCTATTTGAAAGACATAGAAATTCTACTAAGATACGAGGTCTTCTATCATATTTCGATGTATAAAATTTAAACAGTCTATTCTTTATGATTTTGTCATCATCTATTATAACAATAGCATCACGTTTCTTTTCTTGGTGCCACTTTAAAATATTTTTTGACACTATACAAAAATGAATTCAAGTTTTTTAATACCAGAAATTTGGGTCAAAATTTTCCAATACATAGCTTCTCTTAAATTTTATTCTTTACATAATCTCCTTTTAGTTAATCGCTCATTTTGCTCC